TGAAACGGACCTACAGATACCGAGATGTGAATTCAATGTGATATTTACATGTTGCAGAATATTATTCATTTTTTTCCAACCACTTGGAAGTAAAAAACCATTGTCATGTCCTGTGGGCCACGCAGAGACAGGCATGGGCCTCTCTGGCCTGTGGGTCAGCGGTGAGCTCATGGCCCTCTGGGTCAGGGCCTGAGTCGGGGGGTGGGGGGTTTAGGAGGTGAGGGAGGGCGTGATGGAGATGACAGAGGGGGCCCCTGTGCGTGTCTGTGGTCCCTGAAGGGTAGTGGCTCTCTATGTAGAAGCCGCATTACATGTTAAATGCCGTTGTCCTGGTGGTCGATTGAGTCCCTGATGTGGGCTGTGTGCCAGAAGGTGATTACCTGAAATTATTGTTGAAGAGTAATGCTGTTAGTAATCCATACAGAACAAAAGCTATGCAACTTGTGAATTCCTGATGTTCCTGTTTTTTATTTTGTCTCTCTTCCTTGCTGTTTGTTTTTCTCAAGTGACCTATCATCTTCACTTTCCACCTTGTTGTGGAGAAAGGGTTGGCTGGAGGAGGTGGCCGGCTCGGAGTTTCGCTGGTGGTGTGGCGCTGGCCTCCGTGGGCGTCTTCCCTGCCTGCTGCGCTGGTCGTGCTTTTGCGTCGGTGGATGGGCTGGGCGCTGGTGGAGTCCCCGCGGCCTCGGCGTGGGCAGCAGGCAGGCTGGCCCCCAGGGCGGGGATGGAGGGTGTCCTGCCGCACATGCTCCGCTCTTCCTGCCTGTGCAGCTTGCAGAGCTCCTGCCTGCTCTCCGTGTGCCTGCTCCCTCAGCGTCGGTCGCCACTCTTCCCAGCAGCTTGTTCACTCCCACGCTGCCTGCCCCGCGGTGTCTGCCAAGGCCTGGCCCGGCTCGGCTGGTCTGAGCTCTGTGGGCACAGTGCTACCCGCTCACAGCCCTGCTCTGGGGGAGCGGACCCCCCCCCCCCCCCCCCCCCACCAACCAGTGTTTGCAGCACTGCCTGCTCTGGCTCTCGTCATCCGGGAGGAGAGGAGGAAGGAAGTGCTTACTCATCCGAGTTCAGCCTTTTTCTGGTCTAATTATGCAGTGAGCATCATTTTTGCTTTTAAACTTTGGAGTGGAAAGTTCTGCATATAGCAGTAGAGGGCCTTGTGCAGGGGACCCCTGTGCCCTCAGATGGTGCTGGCGGTGCTGACCCAGCCCACTTGGTTTCTTCTCCCGTTTTAAGCGGATCTGAGCCACAAAGCATTTGTACTTCACAAAGCCACAAAGCATTAAGTACTTCAGTGAATGTGTTTGCTGCTCAGTCATGTCCAACTTTTTGCAACTCTAATAGCTTCTGGTGAATGATGTCGGGTCGTGATCTCCAAAGATTTAACTTTGCGAACAGGGAGCAGACTTGATCACTCAAGAGCGTTTGTGTAGCAGAATTTTATTAGAGTGAAAAAGGGCAGAGAAGGCCTCTGACACAAATATCAGAAGGGGGATGGGAGAGTGCCCCTGGAGCTAGTCTAAACAAGGCCTCACATACTCTAACCAGACCCACTCCCATAACTACATCTTAAATTAACAAGATTAGAATTAACAATACAAAGGTCTTACCAGATCCACTCCCACAAGTCTTAAGATAACAAGATTAGTCAGAAGGTTCTTGTTAAAAAGGAGAAGAATGTTCTCAAACAAGATACATTGTTGTTACATAATCCTTAGTATATAAGGGCCCCATCACTTCATGGCAAATAGATGGGGAAACAATGGAAACAGTGGCTGACTTTATTTTTCTGGGCTCCAAAATCACTGCAGATGGTGACTGCAGCCATAAAATTAAAAGATGCTTACTCTTTGGAAGGAAAGTTATGACCATCCTAGACAGCATATTAAAAAGCAGAGACATTACTTGCCCAACAAAGGTCCGTCTAGTCAAGGCTATGGTTTTTCCAATAGTCATGTATGGATGTGAGAGTCGGACTATAAGGAAAGCTGAGCGCCGAAGAACTGATGCTTTTGAACTGTGGTGTTGGAGAAGACTCTTGAGAGTCCCTTGGACTGCATGGAGATCCAACCAGCCCATCCTAAAGGAGATCAGTCCTGGGTGTTCATTGGAAGGACTGATGCTGAAGCTGAAACTCCAAAACTTTGGCCACCTGTTGTGAAGAACTGAGTCATCGGACAAGACCCTGATGCTGGGAAAGACTGAAGGCAGGAAAAGGGGATGACAGAGGATGAGATGGTCGGATGGCATCACCGACTCGACGGACATGAGTTTGAGCAAGCTCTGGGAGACAGTGAAGGACAGTGAAGCCTGGCATGCTGCAGTCCATGGGGTTGCAAAGAATCAGACACAACTGAACAACTGAACTGACCGAATCCTTAGTACAGAGCTTAAGATGAGTTGCTTTGTTGTGTGATCATTAGCTCTTACATGACGGAGACAAAGCACAAAGACGAAAGTTTGTCCTTTTCTCCTCCTTGAGAGCCCCAGATCCCTTTCTCCTCCTCCAGGGCCCTGGACCCCTTCCTCCGTGAGGGCCCTGGACTCCTTATCAACCTACCTAAGATTAGCTCTCTCGACCCCATGGACGGTAGCCCACCAGTGTTCTCTGTCCATGGGAGTCCCAGGCCAGAACACTGGAGTGGGTGGCCATTGTCTTCTCCGGGGGACCTCCTGACCCAGGGGTGGAGCCCGGGTCTCCTGCAGACGGATCCTTCGCCGCTGAGCCCAGGGAAGCCCCTTTACTGCAGCAGCTGTCCTTCAAAGTCAGGGTCTCTTTTCTTTAAAACACAACCCTGCCATTGGCACAACGCAAGTAAGGTGAATTGTGATTCCTTGATTTGATCAGATATTCAAGGTATTGTTTTTCAGCGACATTTCAGTGATTTTTTCCCCCAGTTTGGTTTGAGTCTGTGTCTGGGCGAGACCTACGTTGTGACTGGCTGGTGTGTTCATCTCTTGGACAACCAGCTTCTGCTCCAGCAGTCACGCCGTCTCCCTCTCTCTTTGTTTTTCTTCTTTTTTGCTGGCTTCTGTTGTTGAGGAAACACAGCTATTTTCTCATTTCCCATAGAACCTGTCCTACTTGTCATTCATATGTTCCTCTGCCCTTTAAATCTCCTGTAAGTTGGTTAAATATGGAGTAGGTTAGGGTCACGCCTCCTCTGTTAGGTGCTCGGTGGGATCCATGTATGTGGATCAGGGGTGCGTAACCTCCGGTCCCCACCTATGTTCTTGGCCGCCACCTTGCCCACTGCTTGGACAGTTGATCACAAGCGGGTTCACTGTATTCTGGGCTTAGTGTGTTATGGCATTTTGGAAGTTCATGAGAGTGGTTAATACTCTGTGTTTCACAAGAATAACCGAAGTCCCTGTGTCTCCCTCTGTGTGGCAGTGTGGTGTTGGAGACCCTGCAATCACAGAGTCATAGGCAGGGTCGGCAGGCAAGGCACCACGTGTGTCTCGATCAGTTCAGTTCAGTCACTTGGTCGTGTCCGACTGTTTGCCACCACATGGACTGCAGCACGCACGTCTCCCTGTCCATCACCAGCTCCCAGAGCTTGCTCAAACTCACATCCATTGAGTTGGTGATGCCGTCCAACCACCTCATCCTCTGTCATCCCCTTCTCCTCCTGCCCTCAATCTTTCCCAGCATCAGGGTCTTTTCCAGTGAATCAGTTCTTTGCATCAGGTGGCCACAGTATTGGAGCTTCAGCTTCAGCATCAGTCCTTCCAATAAATATTCAGGACTGATTTCCTTAGGATGGACTGGTTGGATCTCCTTGCAGTCCAAGGGACTCTCAAGAGTCTCCTTCAACACCACAGTTCAAAAGCATCAATTCTTCGGTGCTCAGCTATTTTTATGGTCCAAATCTCACATCCATACATGACTACTTGAAAATCTATAGCTTTGACTACATAGAACCTTATTGGTAAAGTAATGTCTTTGCTTTTTAATATTCTGTCTAGGTTTGTCATAACTTTTCTTTCAAGGAGCAAGTGTCTTAATTTCATGGCTGCAGTCACCATCTCCCATGATTTTGGAGCCTAAGAAAATAAAGTCTGTCACTGTTTCTGTTGTTTCCCCATCTATTTGCCGTTAAGTGATGGGACCGGATGCCATGATCTTAGTTTTTTGAATGTTGAGTTTTGAGCCAGCTTTTTCACTCTCCTGTTTCACTTTCACCTTCATCAAGAGGCTCTTTTGTTCCTCTTCACTTTCTGCCATAATGGTTGTGTCATCTGTATATCTGAGTTTATGGATGTTTCTCCCGGCAGTCTTGATTCCAGCTTGTGCTTCATCCAGTCCAGCATTTCTCATGATGTACTCTGCATATAAATTAAATAAGCAGGGTGACAATATACAGCCTTGATGTATTCCTGTCTAGATGGTTTTCTGTAAACACTCGACTATAGGAAGCACACGTGACCGGAGGTCCCCAGGTGTGTGTGTGTGTGTGACTGTGCGAGAATGACATGTGACTGGAGGTCCCTGGGTTTGCCTGTATGATTGTGCAGGAATGGCATGTGACTGGAGGTCCCCGGGTGTGTGTGTGTGACTGTGGGAATGACACGTGACTGGAGGTCCCCAGGTGTGTGTGTGTGACTGTGCGGGAATGGCACATGTCTGGAGGTCCCTGGGTGTGTGTGTGTGACTGTGGGAATGACACGTGACTGGAGGTCCCCGGGTGTGTGTGTGTGACTGTGGGAATGACACGTGACTGGAGGTCCCCAGGTGTGTGTGTGTGACTGTGCGGGAATGGCACATGTCTGGAGGTCCCTGGGTGTGTGTGTGTGACTGTGGGAATGACACGTGACTGGAGGTCCCCGGGTGTGTGTGTGTGACTGTGGGAATGACACGTGACTGGAGGTCCCCGGGTCTGTGTGTCTCTGGACTTGAAATGGCTGTTGGGTTGTGACTGCCATTGTGCCCATGAGTAAAACCAATGTGGAAAAACGTGAACTAATTTAAGATAATTCAGCCTTTTTCCCTTTTGTACTTACAGAGCCTTTTAGAAGATCCTTACCCGATGGTCCGTTCCGCAGGGATCCTTGGTGTTTGTAAAATAACCTCCAAATACTGGGAGATGATGCCTCCGACCATTCTTATTGATCTCCTCAAGAAGGTAACCGAGGAGCTGGCATTTGATTTGAGCTCTGCTGATGTGCGCTGTTCTGTCTTTAAGGTAAGCTTTTAAATTATATAAGGAGTAACTGTTTATCATAGAATAGTTCTAACTTATAGAGAAAGAAAAATTTAAAAATCACCCAAGCCCTACTCCATAAGTATAGCATTATTCACATTTTTGTTGTATATCCAAAGTCACTTGTGAAGAAAACAGAATAAAAGGGTTACCCAAAAAAGAAGTCTACTTGAAATAATACTAGTTTGTCATGTATGTTAGCGGAGGGGGCATAGTGTTTTAGAACAGGAGCTGCATGTATTTAAAATTTTTTAATATTATTATATATCAGAATGAATTTTTTGTATACTGTAGGTACTTTGCACAAGAACCTACAAGAACATTCTTTGTCCATCACCCATTTCAGCAGTTCTCAGAACACATCCACACTTGTTTCATTGTAGCTGCTTCTGTCATCTCTCACACACAGTTACTTTGAAGCAAACCCAGGACATTTATCAGCTCATCTGTAATCATTTCAGTGTGATATTTAAAATACATAGTCTTTTAGTGATGTCCTTGGTAGGTCCTCCTGGAGAAGGAAATAGCAACCCACTCCAGTATTCTTGCCCGGAAAATCCCATGGACAGAGGATCCTGGCAGGCTACAGTCCATGGGATCGCAAAGAGTCGGACATGACTGAGGGACGTCATTTTCACTTTGGTAAGTTCTGTGCTTAAGACTCTGTGCTTTCACTGGAGGGGGTGCGGGTTTCATCCCGGGTCCGGGAAGTAAGAGCCCACATGCTGTGCAAACAGCCAAAAAAATAAATAAAAAATAAAGTCTCTTAAAAATACGCATCTTTTTCCTAAAAACTGGAAAGAGAACGTGGTGCAGCATGTCAGCTCTCCAGACACGTGTCTGGTCTGAGCCTGGGCCGCTCCCTCCGATGCCTGTCTGAGGTGTGGGGACAGCCGTGGGGGAGCACGGGTCTGAGATGTGGGGGGTGCTGTGCCCCCCGTTTCCGTGCAGCATTGAGTCAGGACATACAGGGGAGCAGTGGGCTGTGAGGAGGACTGGAAGGACTCGGACCCTGGCTTTGGGACCTCCCACCAGAGCCTCCTGTTTCTTTCAACTCCAGTAAAACCCTTTAATGTTTAGCTCGGAAAGCTCGGGAAATTATTTCATAACTGCTTCAGTCTTGGTTGAATGAAGCAATGGATGAATTGACCATCAAGCACTGAAACCAGATTAATTCATTCAATGAATGCTATTCTGTGAAATTGTGTTGGCAAAAGTATCATTTTCTGAGGATATATTTGTTTTACTGATGATTTTAGTAAAGAGAGAACTGAATTTTTCTTACCTGAACTTTTCCTTGTTTATGTTCCAATTTTGAACTGTTTGTCTTTCTTGTTTCCCGTAGTGTCTGCCAATAATTTTGGATAATAAATTGAGCCACCCGTTATTAGAACAGCTTTTGCCAGCATTAAAATACTGTCTCCATGACAATTCAGAGAAAGTGAGGGTGGCTTTTGTTGATATGCTGCTGAAAGTTAAGGCTGTGAGGGCTGCTAAGGTAAGGTGACTAGAGGTTTGTTATTTAGTACATGAAATAAATAAGTTTATTTATTTTTATCAATAAAAGGACAAAACAAAAGTTTTGGTTCCAAGAGTTTCAGTGACCACATTTTAAACTAACTGATGTCTGGGATATTCTACCAGTTGTGTCATAAAATATAATTTGTTTTGTCACTGTGTGCTTTCTTTTTGAAAGACATTAATATAAGCAGTCCCCACCTTAAATTATAGTTTTATCATATACCTGAAAATTTTGGTCGCAATATTTAAACACTTGGCACACAGTAAGCACTTAAAATGCTACTTGAGCATGTAGAATATGAGCTCCCCATCCTACAACATCTTACAGAGGGAAGGAGTGTTTGTTGATTTGTGTGCATTTTGGTGTAAACCACTGAGGTGAGTGTTTTCTCTTAAGTATATTTCTGTTCAGCTTTTGGCTACAAATGTCACTTATGAGGTTGCTAACTGCATTATTATTTGGTAACAGTTTTCTTCCCCTACACAAGAATTCTCTGAAATGTACTTTAAAGTGGTCTTTTGTCAGGGCTCAGCGTTTGGGAACAAGCTGACACGTCTGTCAGTGGGGGGTCAGTGCCCAGCCCTGGGGTGTGTTCATGCTGTGAAATGCTGCCATGTGGCCATGACGAGGGGCACGCTTTCGTGGAAAGACCACTAAGTTAGACAGACAGAGGGAGTGCAGATGAGTTGTGGGGTGCTGCCGGCTCTGAGAACAGGGACATACCTGTGTATTTGCTTAGAGCCGCTTCACATATATCCCTGGAGGAAAACAGGAAGTGGACACCAGTTTCTGAGGCAAGGGGAGGGGATTGGGTGTCTGGAGATGGGGTGCTGGGGAGGATTTGCCCCTCCCAAGGGTGCACATTATTTTATGCTTTTCGAATTTTGAACTGGATTTTTTTTAATGAGAAAGGGCTATTTTACTTGGCTTCCGTGGTCTCAGTGCCTTGGTGTGTGGTCTGTTTCTGGACTGTGCCTGTCCATCCTCGGCCAGGGCCACAGCCCGAACTCCTGCAGATCTGCAGACCGTCCTGGTGTGTGTGCCCTCCGGCTCTTCCTTCAGAGTTCATGGTGCTCTGGGCTTTTGTACTTGTGTATGGAGTCTAGGATCAGGTTGTTGCTTCAACAGAAAGGCTGGCTGCAGTTAACTGGATTGCTGTTAACAGCTTATTGAAAGTGTGGTTCTGAGCCAAGTGGGAGTTGTGGTGTAGTGCTTTGTTTGAAGTGCACATCCGTTTGCAAAGGACCACTGAGGGGACGGCTGGTGAGACGGCAGAGATGTCCTGAGTCCCCAGGAGAGCAGGGGAGGGGCCAGGTGAGACCTGGACAACATGTCTGTGCCCAGAGAGTCTGGGGCCTGGGGAAGGAGGAGGAACAGAGGAGGAAGCATAATGCTTTAGTGAGACGCTTCTTGTGTCTTAATGCTTAGCTTGCCCAGGCAAGGCGGAGAGTGATTTAGCTGTAAGATCTCTGGAAGGTTTTGTTACGGGCACACAAGTCAGTCCTCTGAAAATCCAGATCACAGATGGACAGGCCGGTGGAGAGGTATCTAGGAGGAGCGGGTGGGTGTCCACCGGCCCAGGTTGGGGCGCACGCACACAGGTGGCACAGGCAGAGCCCGTGCTGTCAGCCTGCCGTCCTGACCGCTGTGTGCAGTGAGGGGCATCCTGCCTTCACGACCCGTGAGTCCTGGAGGCGCTGCCCCGGAGGGCCAGGCGAAGGCTCTGGGCACAGACGCCGAAAGGTGGTGGTAATTAACGCTAATTAGACAGTCAGGTCCTGAGGCCCCAGGCAGTCACCGCTTCGTTAATTAGGCTTCTGTCTGTGTTTTCCATCCTCAGGGCTGGTGATTTCAAGTTGTTTACTGTTTGTTTTGAAATTCTGCAGTTTTTATGTTGTATAGCTGAGATTTAGGCCAAATCAACAGTATACTAATATTGAAATATCTTTATTAAAAAACCAATCTGGGATTTCTTAATATGCAATTATTTTTAACTTTAGAAATGAAACACCGGTTAGCAATTTTGTTTATGGTCTTGTCTGCTGTTAATGTCACCTGTGGGTAATATGTTTGGACTAAAAATAAAACCTCAGGTAAGTGAAGAATCCTGAATTAATCCGAATTGTTCTATTTCAGGAAAAGTAAATCAAAGAAAAATAGGTTAATATGGGGCTTTTCTGGAAAGGCAGACTTGCAGGGAATGTTTGCTGCAAGAATCACCCAGCCCTGGAACCTTGGCATTCGGTGTTTGTGCCAGCTGCTCGTGTCCGTTCAAGGTGGTCTGGTCTCCATGAATGTGCAGGAACCAGCCCTTTCAGTGTGAAGACCCTCTGTTTTCAGCGCTGCCCCGTGGTCAGGGTTTCCTGGGTGTCTTGGTTGGTTTCAGCAGGTTTGGGTGAACTCTGCGGTCCTGAGGCTGAAGGGCCCTGCTCTCCCGAGCACCCAGCTTCCCTCTTCGCATCTGGTGCTGTGCCAGCTGCTCTAGGTTGACACTCTGCTGATGGCGTGGCTCTCGGGAGGCTCCTGTCTTTCCTGCAGTAACTTTCAGAAATACCAAGTGTGTGCATGGAAGTGTCCCCGGGGCCTGTGGGGAGTGATGGTAGGGTTGATGCTCAGACATCCCCTCCAGGGGAGGTGGAGTGTGTCCGTCTGGAAGTGCAGGGTCCTCAGGCCTGCAGGATGCACTGAGGTGTTGCGGGAGTGTGGAAGGCACTGGGCAGGCAGCGCATGGAAGCCTGTTCCTGGGGAGGGGCCTTTGTGTTTATGGCTTGGAAACTTGAAGATACGTGTTGATGAGGAAGATCCACCAAAAGTCCTGGAAAGGGGACTGTCGTGGGAGCCAGTTCCTTGAGAAATGTTCGTGTCTCTATGCTGCTCCCGTTACACAGATGAGTGTGCCTGCACAAGTGACAGACAGGCTCTGACTGCCCCCATGCCCACTTCCCATAGAACTCTGTTTTATGTCTATTATTCTGTGGCGTTTCTCGTTGTTTTAAATGCTTGTCGAGGAGTTTGGCCCTTTTCTATGGGCGGTGGACAACTTTGATATTTTTGAGCTGACGGCAGCAGGCAGTTCTGTGTGCATGTGTGTGCAGCAGCTGTAGGTGGTGGAGGAGGCACGTGGGCACCCGGTCAACACTTGGGAGACAGCAGGAGAGGTGCCCATGGGCTGCCTGTGTCTGAGGCGGGAGACCAGGTGCTCGCTTTAGCTTTCTGTGCCAAACCTGTTGTACATGTTTAAATCCACTTTTCACGTTGATGGCCCGAAAATTGTGTTGTTTCAGGAAACTTTAAAATTATTAGGCTGATAATCATAACTGTCATTTGGGAGTCCACTGCTGCCCTGTTGGATTATAATCAAGTCCGGCAGCCTCGTGCTTAGCTGCCATGCATGTCAGTCTCCTTCAAATATGGGCTTGATTTCTCTGCAGAAGAGTCCCAGTTCCTGGTGGAGTCATTTGAAATGAGTTTTCTAGAATATGAAAATTAGCTCCTTTTTGATTGTGCTCTTGGTTTTCTTTTGCACCTGTGCCGTATACAGTTTTGGAAAATATGCCCCATGGAGCACATTCTGGCGCGTCTGGAGTCGGACTCCCGACCGGTGTGCCGGCGCCTGGTGGGGCTCATCTTCAACTCCTTCCTGCCGGTGAACCAGCCTGAGGCCGTGTGGTGCGAGCGCTGCGTGGCGCTGCTGCAGATGAACCACGCAGCCGCGCGCAGGTTCTACCAGTACGCGCATGAGCACACGGCCTGCACCAACATAGGTACGCGTGGCCCTGCCCTGCGCCCTGCCCCCACGCCCCAGGACCTCCACACCCTGCACCCTTGCCCCCACACCCCAGGCCGCACCCCATACCCCCACACCCTGCACCCCCAGGCCCCACCTCACATTGCCCCCTATGCCCCACCCCCACACCACATATACCCCACACCCCCAGGCCGCACCCCATGCCCCCACACCCTGCACCCCCAGGCCCCCCACACCCCACACCGTGTATACCCCATACTGTGTGCCCCAACACCCCCACACCCTGCGCCCTTGCCCCTATGCCCCCAGGCTCCCCCCCACACACACCCCACGGCCCCGTGCTCCCGCCCCGCCGTGCCCGGCCCCTCACCCCAGCGCCTAGTCCGGCTCCCGCCTGCCCCACGTGTTCGCCTCGCGCCCAGTGCAGTTTGGGCCATGACTGAGAACGCACAGTGTACGTACACATACCAGTGCAGTTCTTAATGAGGTCCCATAAAATAACACTGTAATTATTGGGGGTTATAATTTCACTGTTAGAAAATTTTGTTGAAGAAACACATGATTGTCTTACGCGCTTTAGCAAAACTGATCCACGTGATCCGCCACTGCCTGAACGCCTGCATCCGGAGAGCCCTGAGCGCCTGCAGGGAGGACGCGGAGGAGCCGGGGAAGGAGAACACTAGCGTGAGTCTGAGGCGGGCGCCCAGCGCCTGCTCAGGGTGGAGCCTGGCAGGTGGCTCCCCACGCTTAGAGGGACGGGTGGCAAGGCAGAGGCGCTGCTTCCACGAAATGTTACCTTGGCAGTGTTTTATTTTTCATTTATTCCTTTAGTTCTGATACACCAACTAATTATTTTGGAGAATCACAAGTAATTTTTTGGAGCAACCTCCTGTGTGATCTTTGTAGTTCACTGTGGAGTCTAAGTAGGATCTAATACAAAGGAAATGCTATTATTGGTCACACCCTTTTCCCAGGTTTCTTTACCTTAAGCGTCTGTGGGGTGGCACACCTGGATGGGCCTGTTGGCCACCGTGTTTTACGCTAGATGGCTGGTGGGGCCCCTAAGGATTTGTTTACTGCTCCTGCCCGAAGATTCTACTAGAAACGTCGTCAGCTTAAATCTCAGGATACAAGCTTTATTGAGAATTGTTTAAAGTAATTTATCCAGGAGACTGTATAACTGATATTTCTTCAGAATCTGAAGTTATCGATTATATTATTAAAAAAGGAACATTTAAGACTTAGATGCTTATTACTTACAAACAGTATCTTAAGCTTATAAATAAACTGTCATGCTTATGTACCTCTAAAGCAGGGTCCCCGGCCGGACTGGCCTGTCTGTGGCGTGTAAGGAGCCAGGCTGCATGGCGGAAAGTGGGCATCGGGTGCTTACAGATGCTCCCCATTGCTGGCATTACTGCCTGAGCGCCCCCTCCTGCAGCTCATCAGCGGCACTAGACTCTCATCGGAGTGCGAACCCGACTGTGACCTGTGCATGCGGGGGCTCCAGGTTGCCCACTCATGAGAATCTCATGCCTGATGAGCTGTGGCTTAGGCAGTGATGCTAACGCTGGGGGGCAGCTGCAAATACAGTGTCAGTAGTTGAGGTTTGACTGCACAGAGACCATAGTGAACAGCTGCTTGCAGATGCATATCAAAACCTTATCAAGTGAGTGGCAAGTGACAATTAAGCTGCATCTGGTGGCAGGCTTTTAAGTCAGAATCCCACACTTATTTTAGTCCATGCCTGGCCTGCCCATTATTTTACTCACCACTTCTGTCCGTGCCTCTTTCTCGTTGTGCCCAGTTTTGGTAAGCCCATAAGCTTACTCCAGCCAAAATGAGTACAAAGCCAAATGTCACAGAGCTGCTGTGAAAATGGGGAAAGGCCCCACGGTGAGACAGCAGAAGCCTCTAAGACTGCCAACAAAAAGAAATGTGCATTTAAAAGAACATACCGAGTCCTAGTTAAGTCATGAGTTCATAGCAACAGGTGATTCACATTTTCCAAACCTGGTTTGTATAACATGTGGCGACCAGCTATCCAATGAAGCCAGGAAACCATCAAAACTGCTTCACTACATGGAGAACAAGCACCCTGCATTAAAAGACAAGACTTTGAAGTTTTTCAAAAGGAAAAAATGTGAACATGAAGAACAGAAGCCATTACTGAAGGGCTACCACTTGATCAAATGTGTCTGCACTGAGAGTATCATTCTTACTGGCTAACTGCATTGCTAAACTTAAGATGCCCTTTACTATTGGTGAAGAGTTGATCTTGCCTGCTGCTAAGGCCATTTGTTGTGAACTTTTAGGAGACACTGTAGTTCAAAAGGTGGCACATGGTCCTCTTTTGGCTAGCACCATAGCTAGATGAATTGATGAAACAGAGGGTAGTGAGGCACAGCGTTAGAGAGGACTGAATCACCGTGGTGTGTGGTCTAGGTTGATGAGCCTGCTGATGTTAGTAAGGCAGCAGTGCTTGTTTTCTGTGACATATTTTTCAGGAGGATGTGCATGAGGCCATGTGCACTTTTGTTGCCAACCAGCACCACAGCTGCAGAACTATTCAAGTCTTTGAATGACTACATGCCAGGGAAATTGAACTGGTCATTTTGTATCGGCGTATACACGGATGGAGCAGCTGCCAAGACTGGGCGGCCTTCTGGTTTCACTGCTCGGGTCAGAGAGGTCGCTTCTGAGTGTGTCTGTGCATGGTGTCATCCGTAGAGAAATGCTGGCCAGCTGAGAAATGGCACCTGAGCTTCACGTTGCAGGGCATGATTAAAATTACCAACCACATTAAAGTCCATGCCTTTAACTCACATCTGCACAGGTTTGTGAGGAAATGGATGCAGAGCACACAAGTCTTCTCTTATACACAGAAGTGAGCTGGCTTTCGAAAGGTAGATCGCTGGCCAGAGTTTTCGAGTTATAAGAGCTGCTCCAGAGATTTCTTTTAGAAAAATAATCATGGCTGGCAGCACATTTTAGTGACACAGAATGGGTCGGAAAACTTGCTTCCTTTTGTGACGTAGTTAGCCTGCTCAGTGAACTCAATCTGTCGCTTCAGGGAAGACGGCAGCTGTGCTCCAGTCAGAAGATAAAGTGGCTGTATTCAACGGCGAACGAACTGTGAGGGCTGTGAGCGAGCACTGGGGTTTTTGACATTAGCAGAGATTCTGAAAGAGACTGAGCTGGGTTGTCTTTCTCGGTTCACGTGCTGTTGAAGCCTCGCTTGGAGAATTTTGAGCGTTACTTTGATAGTGTGTGAGAGGCGTGCAGTTGTGCGGTAGTTTGAACATGTCCAGTCCACCCCGTAATCCCGTTTTGGTTGCTGTCACTGGAAAACCCTGCTTCATACAGATAGGATGTTGGAAATGGAAGTGGGCCTTAGGAAGCGTCACTGCAAACAAAGCTAGTGGAGGTGATGGAATTCCAGTCGAGCTATTTCAGTTCCTAAAAGATGATGCTGTGAAAGTGCTGCACTCAATATGCCAGCAAATTTGGAAAACTCAGTGGTGGCCACAGGATGGGAAAAGGTCAGTTTTCATTCCAATCCCAAAGAAAGGCAATGCCAAAGAATGTTTAAACTACTACTGTACAATTGCACTCCTCTCACATGCTAGTAAAGTAATGCTCAAAATTCTCCAAGCGAGGCTTCAACAGTACGTGAACCGAGAACTTCCAGATGTTCAAGCTGCATTTAGAAAAGTCAGAGGAACCAGAGATCAAATTGCCAACCTCGTTGGATCATAGAAAAAGCAAGAGGGTTAAAGAAAGACAGCCCCTTTTGCTTTATTGACTACACCAAAGCCTTTGACTGTGTGGATCACAGCAAACTGGAAAATTTTTAAAGAGATGGGAATACCAGACCACCTTACCCGCCTCCTGAGAAATCTGTATCCAGGTCAAGAAGCAACAGTTAGAACCGAACAGGGAACAACAGACTGGTTCCAAATTGGGGAAAGGAGTACATCAGCACTGTATATTGTCACCCTGCTTATTTAACTTATATGCAGAGTATATCATGTGAAATGCTGGGCTGGATGAACCACAAGCTGGAATCAAGATTGCTGGGAGAAATATCAGTAACCTCAAATACACATATGACACCATCCTATGGCAGAAAGCGAAGAACTAAAGAGCCTCTTGATGAAAGTGAAAGAGGAGAGTGAAAAGCTGGCTTAAAACTCAGTATTCAGAAAACTAAGATCATGGCATCCGGTCCCCTCACTTCATGGCAAATAGATGGGGAAACAATGGAAACAGTGACTGACTTTATTTTCTTGGGCTCCAAAGTCACTGCAGATGGTGACTGCAGTCATGAATTAAAAGATGCTTGCTCCTTGGAAGGAAAGCTATGACCAACCTAGACAGCATATTAAAAATCAGAAACATTACTTTGCCAACAAAGGTCCGTCTAAGTCAAAGCTATGTTTTTTCCAGTGGTCATGTATGGATGTGAGAGTTGGACCATAAAGAAAGCTGAGATACCATAAGCACCAAAAAATTGATGCTTTTGAACTGTGATGTTGGAGAAGACTCTTGAGAGTCCCTTGGACTGCAAGGAGATCCAACCAGTCCATCCTAAAGGAGATCAGTCCTGGGTGTTCATTGGAAGGACTGATGCTGAAGCTGAAGCTCCAATACTTTGGCACTTGATGTGAAGAACTGACTCACTGGAAAAGACCCTGATGCTGGGAAACATTGAAGGCAGGAGGAGAAGGAGACGACAGAGGATGAGATGGTTGGATGGCATCCCTGACTGGGTGGCCATGAGTTTGAGCAAGCTCCGGGAGTTGGTGATGGACAGGGAGGCCTGGCATGCTGCAGTCCATGGGGTTGCAAAGAGTCGGACACGACTGAGGGACTGAACTGAACTGAACTGATTATAACTGGTAGTAGAAAAGAAATACAATTTGCCATCTGGATGTTGCCATTATAAGAATATATGATGGCTGAAAGCAAAAGTTTCTGAGTTTATTCTATAATTTTTTTCCCATTACTATCTACTGAAAATCTCTGCTAAATTTCTATTTAATGAAATCTTAGGAACTTAGCATATTTTTGTAAAGGATAAGTGGCGCCTTTCTCAAGGGACTTTAATGATAAGATTGCTATGCCTAATGTTAGAATGTAAAAACTAAAATACAGATTGAAATTTTGTTAATTTGTTATTTTTGTCATTCACATAGTATTTTCTAACCCTTTAGTAGTTTTACTGTTTTTTAAATTTAGCCATAAGTCCTTCCAAGTGTTAAGAGCCTATTGAAAAATCTCCTTTTGTATAGCAACTGTTCTTGTTTTTTCTGTACACCCTCTTTTGTTGTTCAGTCACTCAGTCATGTCCGACTCTTTGTGACTCCATGGACTGCAGCATGCCAGGCTTTCCTGTCCTTCACCATCTCCTGGAGCTTACCCAGACTCACATCCTTTGAGTCAGTGATGCCATCCAACCTTCTCATCTTCTGCCGCTGCCTTCTCCTGCCTTCAATCTTTCCCAGCATCAGGGTCTTTTCCGATCAGTCAGCTCTTTGCATCAGGTGGCCAAAGTATTGGAGCTTCAGCTTTAACATCAGTACTTCCAAGGAATATTCAGGACTGATCTCCTTTAGGATTGACTGGTTTGATCTCCTTGCAGTCCAAGGGACTCTCAAGAGTCTTCTCCAACACCACAGTTGAAAAGTATTAATTCTTTGGTGCTCAGCCTTCTTTATAGTCCAACTCTCACATCCGTATATGACTACTGGGAAAACCATGGCTTTGACTAGATGGAGCTTTGTTGGCAAAGTAATGTCTCTGCATTTTAATATACCGTCATGGTTTGTCATAGCATTTCTTCCAAGGAGCAAGCATCTTTTAATTTCATGGCTGACAAAGCATGGTCCACTGAAGAAGGGAATGGCAATTCAGCATTCTTGCCTTGAGAACCCCATGAACAGTAATGAAAAGGCACCCTCTTTAGTTTAGTTTATTTGCTCCCTGTGTCTTTTCCCATTCCATTTGCACAAAAATCCCAGCACTTGAAATGAATCATCCTTTGCAGTTCAAGGTGGTGATGGAGTGTGGGCCCCCACCCTGCACAGACACGAAGGATTAACTAGAAACCCTCAGGACATAGCGGTGCTGTCATCCCTGCCCACCGAGCTTGGAAGGTGCTCATACGTCTGCTACTTGAAACCAAGCTAGAGCAGCCCCTGGTTGAGGGGGGCGGGTCCCCTCAAACATCACACCACAGTCTTGGGGATCCTGCCTGCCTGTCCTTTGCATTTCTGCTTTAGGGCTGGAAATCTGAGATGTGCTTTTGAAGACAGTGCTGTTCTTTAATAGTTGCTGTGGTTCATTATTTCACAGTGCAGTGATTTGTGTCTTAGGCTCTGGACCAGACGCTGTCAGTGAGCGATGCTGCGTCCATGGCGGGGCTGCTGGAGATCGTGGTGATTCTCTGGAGGAGCATTCACAGGAGCCTGGAGAATAACAAGGAGGCCCGAGTGTACACTGTCGACAAGTTTGCCTCAGTGCTGCCACAGTACATGCGCGTGTTCACGGTAAGACGGCCGCCCTGAGGGGCGGAGCAGCCCCGTGTGCAGGGCTGAGCCAGCTGCCCTGGGACCTGCAGCGCTCGCCCTGCGAGGCGGGGCCGGGCGGCCTCCAGCCTCTGCCCCGGTGTGTGTCCAGGCCGCTCTGGTCTTCTGTTGCTAGTGGCCTGCGACCCGGTTTTAGAATCTAGTTTGATGGGCTGGGAACAGAGAGGAGTTGGTGGGCATCCAGGATGCACAGCAGCCTGTTGTGGGGGCCTCTGACGGCACCCCGTAAGCACCTGTTTCTGAAGCCTCTGAGTTGTGTCTGTGTTACTGGGGCAGACGGACCATGTGTGTATCTTCTGCTTAAGTGAGGGAAACCTCCTCTGAACAAAGGCCGTATTTCAGAAGTAATGGAAATAAAACTGCTCTATAGAAGTGCAGGTTTGTTTCCAATTCCAGAGAAAGCATGACTTAAATATGGAATGGTCATAGGTCTTAGGAATCATTCTTCTCTTGGTAAAGTTTACTTCTGGTTCTTCTACAACTGCTTATGTGACCTTAGACCTTTTAGCTTTTGGAGCTGTATTTCTGTGACTGTTAGGTCTCCAAGCTCCATTGTGCCCCTGAAGTGCCAATGGGACCTGTCTGTGAAAGTGAAGGATGAAGGCTGCCCCATCGTTAGGACATTTAAAGGCTCAGACAGTCACACTGGGCTGAGAATGGAGGCGGTCGGATCATGGATGAGATGATGGAAGATCAGTGTGCCCTGGGTGTGTCTGGGAGAAGGCAGGTGGTTCATTAAGTGTTTTAGTCCCAAGTGATTCTGGCCAGAGAGTGTCTCTGCCCCCAGCCCCTCCAAGATCCTTGTGGTCTTCCTGTCAGTGGGTAAACTGTCTGTGAGCCACGCGTAGAGTGGAATCGGGATCGCTAGTCTGTTGTGACATTAAGAAGACACTTTGTGTATTGGGAGTTGGGGGTGAGGGTGGGTTCCCTGTGCCTGAAATGCAGATTAGTTACAGATGGGACTGTGAGTTTGCTCCTGTTTATTTTTCAGAAAAATTGTTGTTTCTCTTCCTTTTAGGATCCATCTTCTTTGGTTGTGTCGCCATCTAGGGGTATTTCTTACTAGTGATCTGGGTGGCGTCTGACCTGTCGGCCCTGTTACTGTGACAGGGACGGCTGTGGTGAGGTGGCTGCCGTGTGCAAAGTGCCGCCGGGGGGCCTGCGTGGTTTCCTCATGGGGTCCCTGCCAACCCCACCCAGCGAACAGCCCTTCTCCCCGCTGGCCCCTGCTGGGTGGGCTCTGCTGGGACTTGGCCTTGGCCGTTGCATTGCCCTGCCTTCTGGAGGTATTCTTATTAAGAACTTTTCTGACTAGCTTCATTTTCTTGAGTTTTATACTCAGGACACACCGAGCGCATAGGGTTGTTGTTTTTTTCCTTTCATCAGTATTCTTTCTAGAATACAAGTCAGTGCCTTGACAGCAAGGGGTGTTGTCTGTTCTGGCCACCACTGTGTCCCCAGGGTCTCCTGGTACACGGTGGGTGTTTAGTAAGTATTTGCCCAAATGACACGTCACAGAAAGTAATGAAGCCTCCTGTGAAAGTCTGAGAAGACCCAGCACATCTGGAGCCTCGCGGGGTTAGGTCCTGTTGTGTGCCGTTCCTACCCAGCAGCTCAAGCGGGTCCCTGGGGGCAGGGGGCCCTCGGGCCGCAGTGCTCACGTTCCCGTCTCTGTCTCTTCCTGCCCCCAGGACGACCGCTGCAGGACCCCTCTGTGCGTGCTGGCGTCCCTGATGCCCGCCCCGGCCGTGCCCGTCTTCAGGTGCTTCCCCACCCCACCCCACCCCGCCCTCTGGTCTCCCCAGCGCTCCCCACCGCCGCCCCCAGGAGGGAGGGCAGGGCAGGCTTCCAGGGCCCGGGGTGCTGAGCGCCAGGACTCATCCAAGTGCAGGTGAGGACGCGAGGTCTGAGCTGAGCCGCCGTGGAGCTGCGGCCACACGGGGCTCTGAGCGCCTGGGACGCAGCATTGAGCTGGGATGAGCTGTGAGCGCAGGGTGCACACTGACTCTGGGTCTGGTGTGGAAAGAGGGCTGTGATGTGTTCGCTCCGTGGTTTTCTACATTGCATCTCAGACAGTGTTGTGGGTGGGCTGGGCTGATGTGTTATTGAAGTCAGTCCTCCTTTTAGATACGGCTGTTAGAGCCTTTAAGATGACATGCTGGCCTGTTGTTGTGGCTCAATGGCTGTTTTGGGCAGTGTTGCTTTAGTGTTCGTTAGTAACTCAGTAAAAATTACTCGTTTTCAATTCATATGTATTCAAAAATGAATGTTTTGATGCTAAACAAATTATTTCCCCCAAATGAGGAATCTTTACAGTCTGGCAGAAGCAGCGCATGAACAAAAGACTAGGGTTTGTGTGTGTAGCGGGTGCCTGGCACCTCACGTCATGGTGCGTGGGCGTGGGTCCCCGACGCTGCTGGGAGTCGCCGTTGTGTCCTGTAACTTACCCCAAGAGTGACTGTGGACAACAGTGGGTTTTTCCTGCAGTGGAGAGTGTCCGCCTGCTCCTGTGGTAGGAAGGGTCTGTGTCCCTCAGCTTTTAGCTTCCCCCTTTTCCCCACCTTTCAGGAAGGTGAACAGTCGTTACTGAGATGCAGGTGTGACTTTACCTATGTGGCCCTTTCAGCTGCGGTGTGATTTCCACACTGAGGAACCAAGAGGAGGGAGCCGCTGGCAGGACCTACTGCACCTTGCTGGACTGCCTCTGCTCCTGGGGCCACGTGGGGCACGTCCTGGAGCTCGTCTGCGACTGGCTGCCCGAGGGGCCGCCTCAGAGCAAGGTACGGGTCTTCATGCTGCGCTCCGCCGGGGCGACCTGCCGGGGCTCACGGCTCTCCTCCTGCTTGTCTCTCCCTGCCCCTCAGGGCAACTTGGCCTCCAAGCGGAAAGTGCGGGTCCAGGACCCCTGTCCGGTCAAACCTGGGCTGGCACTGGTCTATGTGGAGTATTTGCTAACCCACCCCAAGAACCGCGAGTGCCTCCTCTCTGCGCCCCAGAAGAAGCTGAACTGTCTTTTGAAAGCACTTGAAGCATCCAAGGTAATTTTGTAGAACAAACACGGGCACCGTGGAAGTTGACTGATGAACTCAGATGCAAGTTTTCCATGCTTACACTGTCATTTTTCACCTGGGGGTGGGAGGGGACCGGGTGCCCATTTCTGGGCCTTGCTTTTTCTACCAAGTGTATTCAGAGCCCAGTGTCCCATCTGCCTCCGCGGATAAGCCTTCCTGCTACAACGGGCCATGGGCAGGAGGCTGCCTGCCACCCTCGTTCTCCTGCTCACGGCCGTGGGGGCTCCAGCCCCCCGAGTTTGGGGCAGGGTGTCCCAGGCTCTTTGGTGCAGTCCTGTGGGTTCTTTCCCCATCTCGTCTCTCTCCTCCGGCCAGCCCCAGCTGCTGCTGCCCGGTTCTGTCGTGCCAGAGGCCCCCCACGTGCCAACAGCGGGCGGGGCGGGCAGGGGTGTGGAAGGCACGAGAGGCAGAGCTCAGTCTGGGGGTCCAGGGCTCCAGGGGCAGCGCCCTTGAAGAGCTGTCTCCTTGCTGCTTTGTGGGAGGCCTGGCAGAGGGAGGAGGCGCGGGCTTCTCAGGATGCCCCATGGCGTTGTACCTGCCCGGCGCTCCTTGCCACGGTGTCCTCACCTCCCGTGCGGGCTGCTCGGTTGGAGCCCGGCCTGAGGAGTCCTGTTCCGCAGGGGGATCTGGAGTCCATTCTGCAGTCGTCAGATGGCAGCCCTCCGCGCCTGAGTGAGGGTACCACCCTGCGGGCCTTCAGCCTCTACTGTCGGCTGAGCATCCATCTTCAGCACAAGGTGTGTCTGCGGCTTGGGGCGGGACATGGGATGAGCGGGCCCGGGGCTCCACGGCTGACCTGTCTTCTCTTGTTTTTGGGCAGTTCTGCTCAGAAGGCAAACTTTACCTGTCCACTTTGGAAGACACCGGGTCTTGGTTAGAAAGCAAAGTTTTATCTTTCATTCACGGTCAAGACGAAGAATACCTGAAGCTTCACAGGGTGGTTTATCAGCAGATTATCCAGGTTAGGCGTCTGGGACGTGGAGACACTGCTCCACTTTGTGAGGGCCTTCCGTATCTCATTTCCGATCTGAACTGTGACTTCAATCAGTAATGCTGCTTTCTTGAGCACCTACGCTAGCATCTGAGTGTCCAGAGTTTATCTTTTGCGAAGCACAAACTGTGTAATTTTGATGTAATTTTACACTGTACAGGTAATGGGTATTCAGTGCTGTTTTTGGAGTTACAGAAAATGTGTTTCTAGACTTCCTATGGAAAGAAAAATGAGAATTGATGTGTCTTTATGGAAACCCCTCTGTGAACACCTCTGTGATTCACCTGGCAGCCCCTTAGGTATTGGAGCTGTGCCAGCTGCGTGCGGCCCCTCTGGCCTCTGTGAGGAGGTCACAGTAGCGTGTCTTTCTCTTCTAGACCTACCTGACTGTGTGTAAGGATGTCATCATGGTTGGCCTTGGCGACTGCAAGTTTCAGACGCAGCTTCTACAGTGGAGCCTTGGACTTATGCAAACAGGTACCTGGTTTGTCAAAGGACTAGTTAAGAGCGACTCACAATAAGAAGCAGTCCCTCCCTTCGCTGGACTCTGGCTTTTAAGTGACAGACGTGTAACACCAACTAGTTTACATCAGAAAAGGATTTAGCAGGCCGAGGCAACCAGGAAGTTCATGGTGCTTTTGGTACTGGACGTGACGAGTGCAGCATTTCTGGCGGGGTCTTGGCTTCTCCTCTGGGGACTCTGTGGTTGTGAATGACTGTGCTGCGTGGTCACCCGTCAGGCATCCGTGGGCTGTGCTCACAGAAGAGTGCTCGCCGTCTGCCTGTGAGTCAGGAGTTGTTCAGTGGCCCCTTACCCTGGGACCCCTGGGAGGTTGCTGTCACCCTGGGGATGGGCTGACAGTGTGGCCCTGGTGACTGACACCGTGGTGTCCATACCTGCCTTGGAGGAGGTGCCAGGTGGTGTGTGCTGAGAGAGTGCGTGGGGAGTTGGCTGCCCTCAGGCCGTTTGGGCGGAGGGTTATCTGGAGCTCCGCGGGATCCGAGCGGGTTCTTGCAGCCCCTCGTCCGGTGGCGGGAGGAGTGTGGGGCCCAGGCCGTCCCCTCGGCCTAGGGCCAGGCTCTGGCTGGGAGCTGCGCTGCTGTGAGCCCCACCCTGCCGCCTCGGCAGCTGCTGCCACGTGGCCCTTACTCCTCAGCTGGGGCTGCTCATGCTCCTTCTGAGAGCTACAGAGGCTTGGGAAGGAGGGGTTCAAACGGCTCTAACTCAGATATTTGCTAGAAGAGACTGAAAATGGTATTACCATTTAGCAAATCCAACAGTAAGTTTGCATTAGTCTTCTGGGGCCTTGTGTGGTCTTGAGCATCGTCGTGCAGACCTCAGAGATGGCTTGGCCTCAGACCCCACAGCTTCTTCCTCCCTATGCTGCTGTCCCTGCGGTGGGGGGCTGGCCTGCAGCGGAGCTGGGTGGCAGTAGCTTTGCTCTGCTCTCTTGATTATACATTTCTTTATCTGTAACTAAAGGGGCGTCAGCAGAATTAATACATTATTTGTTTAAAATACCCACAGAGGCTAAATATTAAATAGAAGAAACTTTTTTGTTTTAAGATCTAACTTTTTGCTTTGTTCAGTTCATTATAAGTCTCACTTTCATCTTAAATTTAGGGTCTTCCCTGGTGGTCCAGTGGCTGACTCCATGCTGCCAATGTAGGAAGCCCAGGTTCAGTCCCTGGCCAGGGAACTGGATACCACATGCCACAGCAAAGACCCAGCACAGCCAAAAAACAAACAAATATTTTAAAATAAGTAAACCTAAGCCTAATTGTTGAAACATTAAAAATGATTTGCATTTGGGTAACTCAGTTTATCATCTAGTAATTATTTTCCCCTAAGGATTGAATCTGGGCTTCCCAGGTGGCACTAGTGGTAAAGAACCCTCCTGCCAGTACAGGAGATGTAAGAGATACGGGTTCGATCCCTGGGTCGGGAAGATCCCCTGGAGGAGGGCATGGCAACCCACTTCACTGTTCTTGCCTGGAGAATCCCATGAACAGTATATTATCTAGGGTGAAACAGATCACCAGCCCTGGTGGGATGCATGAGACAAGTGCTCGGGCCTGGTGCACTGGGAAGACCCAGAGGGATCGGGTGGAGAGGGAGGTGGGAGGGGGGACCGGGATGGGGAATACATGTAAATCCATGGCTAATTCATTTCAATGTATGACAGAAACCACTGCAATGTTGTGAAGTAATTAGCCTCCAACTAATAAAAATAAATGGAAAAAAAAAAAAAGAATCCCATGAACAGAGAAGCCTGCAGGCTACAGTCCAGGGGGTCACAAAGAGTCAGACACAACTGACGTGACTTAGCAGCACACAAGGATTGAATCTATTTTTAACACTTCTGAAATTCTAATTAGCTCCTTGGAAATTTTTATATCTCCAATGTAGGTGGGTTTATTACATAGAGTTGTCTCTTCCCCTCGAGTATAAGGCCCTAAGCTGCTAACCTTACCTTGGACCAAGCTAAAATGATTTTTGTATTTAGATATTTTAATAATCAGCATTTCCCAGGAGAGAATGTGCTGTGAGCTCATTTTTTTAGAGTTTTGTTACAAATAGAAATAGGTCTTTGGTCATGAAGCTCTTGGGCCTTGCCTGTCAGACACGTCATCAGTGTTGCCGTCATGTGAGAATGCACACACGTCCTGCACCTGGTGCTGCGGGAACCGCACTGTCCCTGGGAGCCGAGTGTGCACGCCCTGTTTTTGAGGACAGTGGCTTTGTGTCTAATAAAAGGAGCAAGTTGTATGGATGTCAGATTTTATATTAATCTGATCAACTTGGTACTGGCTCACCAGTAACTCTCCTCTAAGTTACCGTAATATGTGTCTTAAGTGAAAAATGTGATAATTTCAACCAAATTTTGTGATTAAACAACAGATTTTCCCAACTTTGTTTCCAGTGAAGGGATTCTTTTATGTTTCATTGCTTCTCGGCATTCTGAAAGAGATAACTGGAAGTTCCTTGACACGGAAAACAGACTCGGAGGAAGAGGTCGCCGCGGTATTTGACATGGTCCAGAAAGTATTTCAGCGAATGCTGGAGTGCATGGCGCGGAGCTTCAAGAAGCAGCCTGAGGAGGGCTTGCAGGTGTGGGCGCCTCCCCCTCCTGGGTCAGAACAGGAGGGGCAGCACCCAGCTGGCGGCCCAGGGTATGGGGCCAGGCCGTCGGCATTGCTGGGGAGGTGCCGCGCAGCAGGAGGCGGCTGCCACGGGCCCCTTCCCACTGGTGTTGTGCCTCTCCCTGGGGAGGCGTACTCCAGGGAGGGAGGCCAGGGGGCCAGGAGCCCACCTCTGAGCCCTGGTTTGGGGAACATGTTGGCGGTTCGGGTCAGCAGGCCACTGGCCCAAGAGCTCCTCTGCTCGGCAGGACAGAAGCAGAGAACTAATTGCAGTAGCTTGTGAGTACTCAGCTGCTAGGAGTGAAGATTTTAAAAATGCTTCATTGGGAGGATGTTTATGAATTATTGCAACTTTCCCTTTTATTCTCCCTTTAGCTTGTAGAGGTAATTGACAGTCATTGGCCATATTTTCTGTAGCCTAGCTCATATTTGAGTTAATTTGAAAAAGTCCTGTTTTTGATGAGTCGGTTCAGGTGTCTGTGATCTACTCATGTAATTTGTGCCAGAATTTTTTTTCCTCACTATTGTCTGTGCAGCTTTGTTCAGAACACGTGGCCTCATAGTGGGTGTCTTCCCGTAATGTCAGTGATATTTCTTCATCTTTATTAGTAATGTTGCTGATGCCCCTGTTCTCAGGGTTTTTCTCTGCTCTGGGGTAGAGTGTGTTCAAGGTACTGCCCAGGGCCTTCGGGCTGTGTGTCGTCTTCAGCAGCAGAGAGGAGGGCGTGGGCAGCAGGGGTGTTAGGTGGGACGGGCCTTGGCCTGGGGAAACAGGAGGAGGCCGTGTTCCTGACGGTGAGTGTTAAGGACTAATGGTGACTGATGTGTTCCTTGTAGCTCCTTTACTCCGTTCAGACTCCTCTGCACGAATTCATCGGCACGGTGCAATGCTGGCACGTGGACACGCCTGTTCACCGCGGCGTGTTCTCCACCCTGATCGCTGCGTCTGTGGTTGAGATAAGCCACCAGCTCCGGAAGGTGCGTTGTCCCGAAACTGCTGTGTCTCATTTTGACTACTGAGGAGGGTGTTTTCTGCTGGCAGCACATTTTTGCCTTTTTCTAGGTATTTTTCAGGGCTCAGGTACCGCGGGAGGTCCGCCTCTCCCATAGCTGCCCCTCGAGGTTCTGTGGCTTCAGTCACGTGACCATGGGGGGGGCAGAACATGTGAAGGACATTGTCAGTCTTTATTAAAACCACGCTGGTCTTTCCTTGTTTTTGCCGTGTGTTAGAGATTTCCATGAGTTGATCCGTTTCTTAGGATGCCCTCTCCTGACAGGCGGAAGCGGCCATGCTCAGCGGCGAGCAGGACGTGTGAGTGCCCTTGGGCTGTTTCTGGAGTAGCTCACGTCTCTGACTGCTGTGTGATACATAAGCCTTACTTTTTCTTTTAAGCACAGGAAGTTTGAACCTGTAGTATCAGTTTAGACAGATAGTTTGCTCCTAGTCCATAAAGGACTGGCTGTTTCCTGGCAGGAGCTTGTTTCATATGGTTAGTCTGCTTGGTTCAAGGCTGACATAATCAGGATGATAATTCAGGTCACAATAAGGAGCATGGAGTTTGGCATGGAGTCCTGATGCTAGTGTGTGAGGGTGTGCAACAATGCCTTAAGACAGTAAGCAGTGATGTTTTCTCTCAGTTTGGAAAGGTGACATCTGACAGGAAATATCACTGAAATATATAAATGCAAACATAAAATTTGTGCAAATTTTGTATTATGAAATCACAAATATAAAAGAAGTTGATAAAATTATAAGACATTAATAGAATTTCAGGCCCTCCTGAAAGCTTGAAGGGAGATCATTTAGGTTTAGGAGTGTGATTCCTGGCCTATACACAGCCTAAGAGCTGGAAGTTACTCAGGCCTATGAGTTACATAGCTGACAGCTGTGAGTCCATCAGTGGCTTGTGGGCCACTGTGGCCCATTTATTTACATTTTTTTCCTGTGGCTGCTTTGTGCCTTAACAGCAGAATTGAGTAGTTGTGGCTGAGATCATTTTGCCCACAAAGTTGAAAATGTTTACTATTTAATATTTACTATTTTACTGCTTTATAGGAAAAGTTTGAGTTGAGAAAACCTGATCTGGGCTAATAAGAATAACAGTTAAATTTGCTTAGTGTAGAAATACATTGTTGACAAAAGAAGATAATCAAAGGGTGTTTGACAGAGGGCTTATCAAGTGACATGTGTCTTTTTTCTTCTGTCCAATTGATTGACCCCACTGTGTACAGTAATAGGTGAATCATAATAATGATAGGCATTGCAAAAGTTAACAGAAATCATTATTTTGAGTTTCTGGAAGGCCTTTCACATGTTTGGAAGAAAGTTCAGAGAAGTATAAAATGAGCTATTAGCCTAGTCTCAGTCTTAATTCGTGTTACTAACTTGGCTTTTTTTAGGTTTCTGATATGGAAGAGCTTACCCCGCCAGAGGGTCTTTCAGCCCTTCCACCATTTTCAAGGTGTCTAATAGGAATAATAATAAAATCTCCGAATGTGGTCAGGTAATCCTTTTCTCTTTGCTGTCTTCTTACTCCTATGGCTGTAAGCTCTCAGTAGCTTTAGCTCTGTTCCTTTTACTCTCAGATATTAGCATTATACAAAGAGAAGTTGTAACTTCCTGAGAGATGCGTTCATCCAGATAGTCTCTGGTTATGCTTATTGTAACTCCAGTTCATTTAGAGGGAAACATTTAAAGTGTTACTGTGCACTGCAGTGCTTCTGACAGTGGATACTTGTTTAAGCATCGTATGGTTTTCATTAGGCACATGCTCATTTCTCCACGCATGTATCACCTGACCTGATTCCAGGGTGTCTTGTACATGCAGCACTGATGCGCCACAGGAGGGAGAGTCCTCCAGACATCTGATACCTGTGGAACTTCAGTAGTAGATATGTTTGCTGCAGACTTCAAAAGCATCATTTCAACAGCTGTGAATTATCTTTCAATAGCACGTTAAATCTTTTTTGTGATATTATGAGTATGCAGAGGCCTTCATTCACTTACCAGAGCATCTCTGTTCTCTTTCTAGCAGCATCATCTGATTTTATTGTCTCACCTGTATGATTTGGCATGCTTACAGTGAAGAGTGTGGGAAGAGTTTAATCAATTTCCCATGTTACTGAAACATGGTATTTCCCATTCCCTGAAAACTGGAATTCATGGTGGTTGATGAATCTTGGCTATTATTTGTTTTTCTATAAAGTATTAAGATATATTATTGAGTAACTGCAGTTGTTTTTTACTTTTTTGCAGGTCATTTTTAGATGAATTGAAGGCATGTGTCATTTCTGAGGATATTGAAGGCATCGTTTGTCTCACAGCTGTTGTGCACATTATCTTGGTTATTAATCAAGGTTGGTTAAGTTTCCTCTTGTATTGTTTGGGATACTGCTCAGTGTCTCTTACATAGATCCGTTTTGGAATGTTTGGGAACAAGTACCCTGCCAGTCAGGCTCTCAAGGTGCTTTCTCCCAGCTTTCCACATTCCACACGTGCTGTCTGCCTGGGCGTCTGCTGTGTAGCTGCCCTGTACCAGCATGAATCACAGAGGTTTCCTAACTCAGCTCCTGTCCACTCTTCCCAGGACCCATTATGTCTCCTCTGTACCGAATTTCTATTGATTTGTCATTTATTGCCTTTGTCATGTATGTTTAAAAATCAGAATCATTTTGCCAATGATAGTGTGTTTTGGCATTAATATTTAACGTATCTGTGGTTTGCTTAGTTTTAACTGTGTGTATTCTGAGTATCCCAGCCAGCTGAAATAGTATTGGAAAAATAATCAGAGACACTTCTGAGATACTTACCAAAGTGTAAAATACAGTGATAACCTTGCAGTGTCTACTGTTCTGTTTCTACATTTTTTAACGAGTTTTACCAGACCACCTGACCTGCAAACCTGTATGCAGGTCAGGAAGCAACAGTAAGAACTGGACATGGAACAACAGACTGGTTCCAAATAGGAAAAGGAGTATGTCAAGGCTGTATATTGTCACCCTGCTTATTTAACTTATATGCAGAGTACATCATGAGAAACGCTGGGCTGGAGGAAGCACAAGCTGGAATCAAGGAGAAATATCAATAACCCCAGATATGCAGATGACACCACCCTTATGGCAGAAAGTGAAAAGGAACTAAAAAGCCTCTTGATGAAAGTGAAAGAGGAGAGTGAAAAAGTTGGCTTAAAGCTCAACATTCAGAAAACTAAGATCATGACATCTGGTCCCCTCACTTCATGGCAAATAGATGGGGAAACAGTGGAAACAGTGGCTGTCTTTATTTTTTTGGGCCCCAAAATCACTGCAGATGGTGATTGCAGCCATGAAATTAAAAGACGCTTACTCTTTGGAAGGAAAGTTATGATCAACCTAGACAGCATATTAAAAAACAGAGACATTACTTTGCCAACAAAGGTCTGTCTAATCAAGGCTATAGTTTTTCCAGTAGTCATGTATGGATGTGAGAGTTGGACTATAAAGAAAACTGAGCGCCGAAGAATTGATGCTTTTGAACTGTGATGTTGGAGAAGACTCTTGAGAGTCCCTTGGACTGCAAGGAGATCCAACCAGTCCATCCTAAAGGAGATCAGTCCTGGGTGTTCATTGGAAGGACTGATGCTGAAGCTGTAACTCCAATACTCTGGCCATCTGATGCGAAGAGCTGAGTCATTTGAAAAGACCCTGATGTTGGGAAAGATTGAGGGCAGGAGGAGAAGGGGACAACAGAGGATGAGATGGTTGGATGGCATCACCGACTCGATGGACATGGGTTTGGGTGGACTCTGGGAGTTGGTGATGGACAGGAAGGCCTGGCGTGCTGTGGTTCATGGGGTTGCAAAGAGTCGGACACGACTGAGCAACTGAACTAACGTTGAAATTATTTTCTAAGGTATTATGCATAGGGGGCTCCTCTCAAAACAAGTTATCCCCATAAGCATGAATGCATAGTATGGCTGCAGATTTGTGACAGGAATTTGTAGTTAGTGTGACCCCAGCCAGGCATCTGGAAAGACTTGCCTGAGGGCGTGTCTCCTGGGGGCCAATCAGCAAGGTGAGGGATGTTCTCCACGTGGAGGGTGTGAGGATGATAGTTGACGAGTGAATGAGCACCTAGTACTTAATAGGTGCTTAAACATTTGCCAAGCAGATGATGACCCTGCAATGTGTTAGTTTCATTGCTGTTGAAGGTGCTGATGATCAGGTCTGATGGCACGGGCAACAATATGGGATCATGCCTTTGGGAAATACCTCAGATGTGAGGAAGTGTTTTTGTAATCCCTCACTGGATCTTCTAACATCCCTTTAAAGGAATTATTTCTGTTCCATTGGTCAGTGATGCACTAACTTAGGCGAGGATAGGAGGCTTTGTCTTAACTAAAATTGTACCTGCATTGAAAAAGTACGTGTGCTTTTTGATTGGTTGTGTTCAATATTTTTCTGTGTTTAACAGGTAAACATAAGAGTTCAAAAGTGAAGGATGTTGCAGCTACTATTGATAGAAAACTAAAGGCATTCATGGAAATTACTTTGGAGGAGGATAGCTTGGAAAGGTAAAGCACTGGATATACACCAACTGTGATTATATGAACTCTTACTAGGTATCCCTTAACATGTATTAGATCTTGCTTTCATTTCTGCTAGCTGCAGCCAGGTAGAGAACTGGGATTGAAGGAACAGAAATGTTTCTGTTGGCAAGACCCCTTGAGCATGTTTTAATTGCTTCCCCATTCTGTCTTTAAAAACAAAAACAAAACTGTTATTTGTGAGATTCTGCCCTAGAAAAGTAAGGGCATACAAACTCACTTTATATGGTTTTAAACCTAAGCAGATTATATTTGGTGGTTTGCTATATTTAAGAAACCATGGATATTCATAGTCTATAATTATCTGTTTACAAGTATACATGTTGGGAATGGGAAAGACCCCTCTAGAGACTGAAGAAATGTGCATTGTTTTCTGCTGTCTGGGTGGCCCATTGCTGCCACATGGACCACTGTCTAAGAACGTGTTCATTGCTCTGTTTCCCAGGTGTTTCTGTTGCTGTGCACTGTTTTTGACATGCTATGCAGGTTCCTGTAGACTCTTTTCTGAATTGTGTCTGACTTTCAGACCAGCCACAGAAGCAGTGCTTTCCTTCTGTATTCCGAACACCATATGGTTAGGTGTTACAGGGCTTTGAACCAGGTAATTAGTTTTATATAAGCCTGGGAAATAAACCACTTTCCAGATCTACTTTCTCCTTAGAAGAAAGGCTTTCAAAATCCAAAACTGCTAACTCCTAACAAAGATAGTCTTTTCTTCTTCTTGCCAATCTGTAGATCTTTCTTTACTTTTCTTACCTTACGGCATTAGCTCAGGCTTCCAGTACATTATCGAAAGGGAGTGGTGAAAGGACCTACTTGTCTTATCCAAGGTCTTAGTGGGAAAGCTTCCTGTTTCTCACCATTAAGCACAATGTTAGCTGTAGACATTCTTTATCAAGTTGAGGATGTTCCTGTCTGTTCCCGATTTACAAATAGTTCTTATCATAGTGGGTGTTGGATCTTGTCAAAAACCTTTTCTGCATCTACTTACAGGATCATATCATTTTTCTTCTTGAGCCTGTTGATGTGACAGGTTACAGTAGTTGATTTCCAGATACTAAACCAACTTTGCATACCTGGGATAAATCCCAGTTGGTCATGGTACATAATTTTTTTAATATACTGTTGAGTTTATGTTTTATCGAGTGTTTTTGCATCTGTGGGGTTTCCCTGATAGCTCGGTAGGTAAAGAATCTACCTGCAATGCAGGAGACCCCAGTTCGATTCCTGGGTCGGGAAGATCCCCTGGAGAAGGGGTAGGCTACCCACTCCAGTATTCTTGGGCTTCCCTTGTGGCTCACCTGGTAAAGAATCCACCCGCAATGCCTGAGACCTGGGTTTGATCCCTGAGTTGGGAAGATCCCCTGGAGAAGGGAAAGGCTACCCATTCCAGTATTCTGGCCTGGAGAATTCCATGGACTGTATAGTTCATGGGATTGCAAAGAGTCGGATACAACTGAGCAACTTTCACTTTTTGCATCTATGCTCATGAGAGAGATCATTTTGTAGTTATCTTTCCTTATCTTTGTCTGGCTTTGCTACTAGGGAAATGCTAGCCTCATAGAATGAGTTAGAAAGTATTCCTTCCCTTCTTTCTTCTGAAAGAGACTGTAAATAATTGGTAAAATTCTTCCTCAAACATTTGGTAGAATTAATTCATCAGTGAATCCATCTGGGTCTGATGCTTTGGAAGGTTATTAATTATTTATTCAATTTTTTAAGACCCTGGTCTGATTCCTGGGTCAGGAAGGTCCACTGGAGAAGGGATTGGTTACCCACTCCAGTATTCTTGGGTTTCCCTGATGACTCAGCTGGTAAAGAATCTGCCTGCAGTGTGGCAGCCCTGGGTTCAGTCCCTGGGCTGGAAAGATCCCTGGAGAAGGGAATGTCTACCTGCTCGAGTATTCTGGCCTGGAGAATTCCATGGACTGTACAGTCCATGGTGTCGCAAAGAGTCAGACACGACTGAGTGACTTTCACTTTCACTTTCTGTTCAGATTGTCTGTTTCTTCTTGAAATGGTTTTGGCAGACTGTGCCTTTCAGGAATTTGGTCCATCTCATCTAGGTTGTCAACTTTGTGGGCATAGTATTCCTTAATTGTCTTTTATAATGTCCATGGGATCTGTAGTGATGTCCCCTCTTTCATTTCTGATATTAGTAATTTGTATCCTCTTTTTTTTTTCCCCCAACCTGACTAGAGGCTTGTTGGGCTTTCCAGGTGGCTCAGTGGTAAAGAATCTTTCTGCCAAGCAGGAGACCTGGGTTCCATCCTGGGTGGGGATAGTCCCCTGGGGAAGGGAATGGCCACCCACTCCAGTATTCTTGCCTGGGAAATCCCACGGACAGAGGAGCCTGGTGGGCTTCAGACCATTGGGTCACAAAAGAGTCAGACACAGCTTAGCCACTAAACAATAACAAAGAGGGTTATTGATTGTATTGAGCTTCAGAAGAACCAGATTTTAGTTTCTTTGATGTCCTCTATTGATTTCTTTTTTAAAATTTTTTTGCTTTCTGTCCTAATTTTTATTATTTCTTTTCTTTTGCCTGCTTTGGATTTAATTTGGTCTTTTTTTTCTGGCTTCCTAAGGTAGAAGCCTAATTACTGATTTTGGATGTTCTTTCTTTTCTAATATATTCAGTCAGTGCTATAAATTATTATGCATTAAGCATTACTTTTGCTGCATGGCACAAATTTTTTTTTTCCCCACAAATTTCTATGTTACATTTTCACTTAGTTAAAAATTTTTTAAAATTTCTCTTGAAATTTCTTCTTTGCCCCATGTGTTCTTTAGAAGTGTATTATTTAATCTTTCAATTTTCCAGTTATTTTTCTGTTATTGATCTCTAGTTTAATTCCATGTTATCTGAGAGAAGACACTGTATGGATTTCTATTCTTTTAACTTTATTAAGGTGTGTTTCATGACCTAATATGTGATCTATCTTGGTGAATGTTCCATATGAACTTGAGAAGAATGCGTGTTTTACTGTTGTTGGGTGAAGGCATGTCTAAATGGCAATTATATCCTGTTGGTTGATGGTGGTGAGTTCATCTCTGTCTTTACTGATATTCTGCTTGCTGGATCTGTCTGTCTGTTTTTGATAGAGGGGTTTTGCTTTATATATTTTGTTATCCTGATATTAGGAGCATATGAACTACTATATCTTCTTGATGAATTGACCCTTTTACTTCTAAGAGAGGTCCATCTGTTTCTCTAGCAATGCTTTTCTCCATAGAATCCATTTTGTTAGGTATTAAGACGGCTCCCCAGCCTCCTTTGGTGAGCATATTCAGTGTTAGTGGTGTTTTAGTCTGGAGGCAGAAACCCCAGTGACAGGACAGCCTGAGCACCAGGTCGAGTTCCTGTCAGGTGTTGGTATATGGGTGGGGGCTGGTGAGGGTTGTAGTGAACTCTGAGGTGTGAGTGCCGTGCTCCCACTGGGGAGGACTCACAGCCTGAGGCTGACCCTCACCCCTGGGAGGGAGCGGTCCTGAGGCCTCCTGGGGGGCTGCTGCCCACCTAGTCCCTGGGAGCTCAGGGGCCCCATGCACACGGCGGTGCTGCGAGCTGCCAAGCCAAGCGAGCCTTGCTGCGTCTGTGCGCCCCAGCGGGTCAGCAGCCGCTGTGGAGGGCCGGGGCCCGCAGCGCTGCCTCTGCTGTCCTGTCCGGCCTCCCGGTGAAGGCGGGGCCTTGTGGGCAGCCTTCCAGTGGCCCTGCTCACCTGCCTGGCACCATGCCTCTGTGATGGCAGCCGGGCACTGGGGGAGGGGGGGGCTTCAGCATCCTTGGTCATGAGCCAAGCACACGCGTTCAGCTACATGCTTTATGCTGGAGACTGTTGACTGTTTCTTGTGAAGTTTAAGAGGGATCTTGGAGGGAGAAACCAGCAGACTCTAGGTTTTATTAACCTGTTTTATTTCTGCATCTGTGGAGAAGAGGAACGTGAGCTTCTGATCTGGAGTAAACTGAGGAGTGTGTGTGTTTCTGAAAACACCTTCGCCATTTAGTTGCTAACTTGTGTCTGACTCCTTTGCGACCCCATGGACTGTAGCCCAGCAGGCGCCTCTGTCCATGGGATTTCCCGGGTAAGAGTACTGGAGTGGGTTGCCGTTTCATTCTCCAGGGTGTCTTGCTGACCCAGGGTTCAAACCCGTCTCTCTTGCATTGGCAGGCAGATTCTTTACCATTGAGCCGCCTGGGAAGCCAGGAGAGGGAGGAGGCGAAAAGCCTGCAGCACTCAGTATTCCCAGCTGATCCCCCATCCAAGTAGTAACCAGGCCCGAGCCTGCTTAGCTTCCGAGATCAGACAAGATCAGGCGCATTCAGGGTGGTATGGCTGTTGACAACTGGGCAGTGTGAATATCCAACGAGGTTGTCAGAATTACAAACCAGATAATGATAAGTAATTGTCGCAGCACATAGTCATAACCTCAGAAATGCGAGCATCTAACAAGATTTCTTTGTTAGAAATACCGTCTGTGAGGAGGGTTGTTTGGGATAGTACGGTATGAACTGCTCTGAGGGACTTTTGCACTTGCACAGGGGTTCAAGGTGAGTACTTGGATTGTGTTACTAGCTATTATTGACAGAAAAAAGGCCCTGGAAGTTCAGAACTTACTCTATGGAAAAGAAAAGAATATTCATAGAATTTAAAAACAGGCATGTAATATTTGGAGGGCTAATGGCTGTGCCCTTGACAAGAATCATGAGTGTTAAGTCACGAATCAGTTGAACTCAGTGACTAAACAACACAGTGTACTGTTTTGTTTAATTCATTGTTTCTACATGCAGTTTCCTCTGCTGAGCTGATACACAGATGGCAAGAAAGAATTCTTCCCTTTAAGGAGGAAACATCCTAAAAAAGCAAATAGGTAGAGACTGAAATACTGGCTTCCTTCTTAAATATTCAAGAAGCAGACTGTAGGAAAACCAGTGTTTGAGGGAAAAGAAGAACCTAAAAACCAAAACATAAAGATCAATCTAATGGAAGATATGCAATTAAGATTTAAGACTATATTTTAAAATATTATTTATTTTTGTCAGCATAGAGACATTGCCTTCAAGGCTCTAGGAGCCCTCTGGCCCAGTTAGAATGTAAGGCAGTGGGGTGTTGATTGGAAATGAGTGTTTTCTGAGCAGACACACTGGCCATCTCTGCAGGAGGGTCGGTGTTTTGTCGACTGGTCCGTCGGGTGCTGTCTCGTTGCACTTTCCGAGTCTCACCTGCCGGGAGAGCCAGGCGGGAGGGACGCCCGAGGCGCCCGTGTGTCCTGGGAGCAGACGCCTGTGTGCTGCTGTGCTGGCGGTTTCCGCGGGCTCCGAGCTGCCCACCACCTGCTGTCTCCACCCCCGCGGCGTCCCCGGGGCGCAGACGGACGTGACAGCGCATGTGCGGTGGCGGAGCAGTGAGAGAAACAGGCAGGCAGCCATCGGTGAGGCAGCAGTGCTGGGCTGATGCCCAGACACCCATAGGAGTCTTTAAAGAAAAGATCAGCTGTTGCCCGAACTAAAAGCCCTTCATTGGAAACACAGCTGATGAACCAGAGCCTCAGCTCCTCGGGGGTCCAAATGGCCTCCATGCAGGGCAACCCGGAGCAGGACAGACACTGCTGCAGAGGAGGGTCCTAGGCGAGGCAGCCGTGTAACCACCGTTGGGAGAGAATTTTCATGGCAGGCTAAAGACATATGCACTTGTAAAGACTCTTTTTTTGTTGTTTCTGTAACTAAACTTTAGGTGGGACTGGTGAAAAAAATGACCTTAACACAAGTCCACGTTCCCAATACACAGTGAGGCCAAGCAATACTGAAATGTCGGAGTATAGGGCAGAGAAAGGATTACTGCAGGGCCACTCAAGGAGATGGGTGGCTCATGCCTTAAAAATCCCAAACTCCTCAAAACCTTTCAGGAAAGCCCTTTTCTAGGAAAGGTGAGGCGGGGTGTGGTTGGTTGTGGCAGACCTCTTGGTGTCAGATCCTTTGTCCTTGAGGTCGGGTCATGGTCAGGTAACAAGATTCCTGTAAATCTCCACCACACAAATGTTCTTCTCTGCTCTGACAAGAAAGGGCACGGCCTCAGGACACACACGTCACTCTCTGAGGTCGCAGTCCTGGCTGAGGAGCAGGCTCAGCTGGTGGCCCCCTCAGGGCCAGGCATCCCCAGACCCTGCTCAGCTCTCGTCCCCAAGAGAGCCAGGCTCCCGGGACCCCACTGACACTCGGACTCCTCAGGGGGCAGAAACGGGGGGCGGGGGTCAGTTCCTGCAGACTGTGTCCATGCAGACCACCACCGCCGTTGAGGTGCAGACACAGGCGTGGGGTGAGGCTCACCACTGCATTAAGGTCTGGGCCACGGCCAGCGGGTGGCCTTGGCGAGGGCTCTGGAGCCCTGCAATAGCCCTGGGCCCCAGATAACCTGCTGGCCCAAGGCGGAGTGAGCTGGGGGCACCAGGGAGAAGGCCGGGGTCCACCGCTTACCTCACTTGCCGCCCGACAGCCACAATCAACAGCTGGCTGAATTGTTACTAATGGTCCCTCACGGACAGGTGGTCCCTTAAGGGAATCACTGCGGTGCCAACCGGTGGCTGAGCAGGACCACCCACAGTTGGTCATTGACGGTTGATTGCTGTGGGCAAGCCACTGTGGCACTGACTAGTGGCTGAGTGGGACGACCCGTGGTCACGTGCTGAGTTGCCTGGTGATGGCGGTGGGTAATGACACACAGCAGTGACTTAGTGCCAAGGGCAGAGCTCCACCACAATATCACACCTAAGTCTGAACAGAATTTCTGAATTTTGAGACAAAGAAACATCTTAAAAACTTTACTGTGTTGGCCTCTGTGTGGCCCCTCATGAAAACTGGGACATGTGAGTCTTACACGAGACGTGGCCCCATTGTGGGAAGGCACAGGCTCCAGTGCTGGTGGGCAGGGGGCTCTGAGCTGTGTCAATGACACCGTGTGTTGGCTACAGGTTGACTTCCTTCAGTGTGTGAAGTTAGATACACTGCACTGTTGGCTGTTGGACAGCACAGGTCTGAGCTCTGTGAGTCCATGTGTGCGCAGGTATGTCCAGTGGTGAGTGCTCTGGGACTCCACTGTCCTGGCTGGCTGAATCTGTGGATGTGGGGAGCCACGTTCTCAGAGGGCTAAGTTATACTCAGATTTTCCACTTCGCCAAGGGTTGGCATCCCAAACCCCTGCGTTGTTCAAGGGCCACCTGATTTCTCTTGATCTCTCTGAACGTGGCTACTAGAAAGTGTCCAGTTACCCTGAGCATGTGTTGATACTAGACAGGGCAGGACTCGGGCAGGCCCGAGTGCCTGTGACAGCTCTGGGCTGAAGATGGAATAAGCTGAGAGGCTGTGGTGGGGCCTGGATCACACCTTGTCTCAGCAGGAGCGCAGAGGTTGGCTGGCCCACACCCTCTGAAGGAGCTTGGGGGAGGGAGAAGCAAGGGGAGGGGCTGACAAGCTGCCTCGCATCTGTGAGCTCCCAGCAAGCGTCACTGGGGACGGGTTCAGGGGTGGGAAGTGAGGGGTGTGCAGGTCGTGGGCGATCGAGGACATGGTGCGCGTCATGTGCTGTTGGGGAAGCGGGCCTCATTCACCGGCACTCAGTGGGCCGCTGACCATGGCTGTGGGAGGGGTGCACAGACCGCACCGCTCCGCGAGCCTGTGTTAATCGTGAGCAGGTCCTCCTGGGGCCAGGGCACGGCCTTGTGCGGGAAGGAGGCAGTGCGCTGGCGAGCCTGGACCTGCGAGGGTGCTCTGTCTGTCCTGGGGCGAGTGTGGGCCTGCGAGGGTACTCTGTCTGTCCTGGGGCGAGTGCACGCCCCGTGAAGGTATTCTGTCTGTCTGTCCTGGGGTGAGCACGGGCCCGCGAGGGTACTCTGTCTGTCTGTCTGTCCTGGGGTGAGCATGGGCCCACGAGGGTGCTCTGTCTGTCCTGGGGCAAGGGTGGGCCCCGTGAGGGTGCTCTGTCTGTCTGTCCTGGGGCAAGTGTGGGCCCCATGAGGGTATTCTGTCTGTCCGTCTGTCCTGGGGTGAGCACGGGCCCACGAGGGTACTCTGTCTGTCTGTCTGTCTTGGGGCGAGCATGGGCCCGTGCTCTGTCTGTCTGTCTGTCCTGGGGCGAGCATGGGCCCGTGAGGGTGCTCTATCTGTCCATCTCTCCTGGGGTGAGCACGGGCCCGTGAGGGTGCTCTGTTAGTCTGTCTGTCCTGGGGCAAGCGCAGGCCCGCGAGGGTACTCTCTCTGTCCTGGGGCGAGCGCGGGCCCTGTGAGGGTGCTCTCTCCGTCCGTCTGTCCTGGGGCGGGGCAGCTCCTGGCCGGCGGCCCTGTCCTGGTGCCACGTCGCCCTGAGTCTCTGTGACATGGCACTTACTCCACTTACATGAGGGACAGCAGCTACTTCAGTTCTCTCCTTGTTCTGTTGCAAAACATTTTTATAGTTACTTTGTGGAAGTGTAAGTTTGTGCAGTTTGGTCACTTTTCTGTAGCTGACTCTGTCTCTCTGTGTTTCAGGTTTCTTTACGAATCATCATCAAGAACTTTGGGAGCACTTTTGAATTCATAACCAAGCCAACGTCTTGATCATGTAAAAACAGAGGAAAAAGACTTTACAGAAAGTGAGATGAATGTGTATTTTTCTAGTTTTTTAATGTTAATAACCCATATAATAGAGAAGAGGTGGGGCTTCTTTTAGGGTGGGTGTGAGTAGAAAACTCAAAAATGCTTAAGACTTTTGTGGCGTGCCTGCACAAAGGATACATTTAATGTACCAGGCTCTAGGTGTCAATGGTGCAGAAACCCACAGTGCATGGAAAAAATGTTTTCTAGCAAACCTGATTGTTATAAAAATGACTTTTATATATAATATTGCTTGGAAACGATGAGTAGCAAAGTGATGACAACACCTGTTTGTGTACTTGATTCATAAATACAAGTGCGCGTTTTCCCCTCCAGCGACAAGGACTGGGCCTGGGTCTCCGCCAGGGGCAGCTGTGAGACCCCCGGCGGGGCCGAGTGGGTGTGGGGAGAAGGCCACTTGGGGGCCTGCTGCAGCCGTGCCCCCTGCCCCCGGGCGTGGACTGGGTCATGAGGCTGTGCGCACGGCGCGCAGGCCCAGTCATCCAGCCCGAGGCCGAGCCCCCTTTGCTTCCCGAGAGCCACCCCACTGACTTCATCTCAGCACCCCTGTGCCCAGGGCCTCCGTGCTCGGGTCCCGAAGTGGTGGCTCCAGGCAAGGCCAGCGCCTTCATCCTGGGTGCTGCATTAAATGCACACACATTCGGTCTCAGCCCCAGCAGGGAGGGAAGCAGTGGCGATTGCGCAGGGCCTCTGCCCCTCCAAGAACGGCCTGCGGTGCAGCCACAGCGCTGAGGGGAGGCCTCATGCCGGGGCATCTGCGGCTGCGGCGGGCTGCTTGTCGCAGCTAACTCTGAACGTGAGACCCTACACGTAGTGAACACTACACTCATGTGTGACGACAGTGTGTGGGTGAGCAGGACGAGAACACTGAACACTACACTCAACGTGTGACGACAGTGTGCGCGTGAACAGGACGAGAACCCTGAACACTACAGTCACATGTGACAGTGTGTGGGTGAACAGGTTGGGATGAAGATACTTCCTGCCGGTCCACCCAGCTCGTTTCCTGCCCGCCCACTCACAGAAGGCATCCGATGCGTCATCACAGTTGCAGTAAAGGTAGGTCCCTTAATGGGGGGTATCGCCACTACCAGTGAGGAGGCCCTTCTTCCTGCATCCATGTCCGGGGCTCTGGAATCCTCTGAATGCCCAGCTGTCCCATGGTCACCCCAATTGCTCTTAGCCTTGGGGTGCAGCTCCTGCCTCCCCACTCTGGGCTGTTCCCTGGTGCCGGCAGCACTCTGGGACACAGCCGAACCCTGGGCAGGACGAGGGCGCACTCGGCGGCGGGCAGTGGTGGCCCGTCCTGAGCTGAACTGGGAAGCCTCTGCAGCAGTGGGATGGGGAGCGCTGCCCCCACCTCAAGGGGCTCTGAGGGTGTCACAGGCTGGCAGCCGTGGGCCCGTTAGAGGTGTCTCTCCTGGGGGTCTGGCAGCCCACCTTCCCTCCTGGTGGAACCAGGACCATCTGATGACTCACAGTTGGTTCATGGTTCAGACAGACCCAGGCTGTGTTTGTGCGATAAAAACAGGCCAGCTGAAAGTGGCCGATGGCAGTTCTGATGGAATCAGTCAACAGTTTGAATTTCATCATGGCTGAGAAGAGTGAGGGCCAAACTAAGACAAGTAACTTGGGTCGTCTGTCACTCCCGTTTCAGGAAGCTACCAACACATGGGTTGTCTGCTCCCTGGAAGCCTGCTCCGCAGCTGTTGCTTTGGAGCGCGGGTCCTGGTTGAGTAGCAACCCAGCGGGCATGCCAGCCTAGTGCACCGGGCAGCTGCTGACATGAAGGAAGACCCCGTCAGCTGAGGGCCTGGGGTCCATGAAGGAGCCCGCCTCCCAGAGGCTCCCACGCTGCCATCCTGGTGCATCCCCTGCAGTGGCCATGTTTTCAAAACAGAGAACGGGAGGCCCAGCTCCCCATCCTGACAGCTTTCTGGACCCAGTAAGGTGTCATGGTTAGGCTGGTCAGCTCGAGCAAGTCCAGAGTGCTGACTGACGGGCTTGCCAGCCGTCTCCTCTGTCTCCACACAGCAGTGCCAAGGCCGCGGAGCCAGGGTCTGAGCCCCACTCATGGGGGGAGTCCCCCTCTGCTTCCTCCTTGGGTGGGCAGGAGACCCCGAAGGGACACCTGGCTCATGGGCCTTGAAAATGTTGGGAGAGTCATTCCTTGACCCGTGTCTGCAACTGTGTTCTAACTGTGCAGTGCGGGACTGGATCACACACAGGCCCCGGCAGGTGTGTCAGCGGGAAAGGCACAAGACTGGGTCCGCGCGGGAGACGCCCACCTCACCTGAGCGTGTGAAGCGAGCACACGTTTGGGTGTGCGCAGCACACACTGGACAGATCGCGCGTGTGTGCCGCTGGCAGCACTGACGTTTGTTCACACACACGTGTCCTCAACGGCACCCACGCGCATCCCTGCTCCTGTGTGCACACTTGCCCCTACGTGTCAGGGCATGGGCTTCCTATCGTGACCACCTCCCCAGCGGCAACCCAGAAAGGGCTGAGCGCAGCCATCCCGCTCGTGGGGAGTCGGGCTGCCTCGGGGCTGGCCCTGTTCCCTCACGAGGTTCCCTCTCCCCCTCCTTCCTCAGGGCCCCGTCTGCCCCGGGAGTTTCCTCTGTCCTGCCCCCGGTGGCAGAGTGTAGCCGGGTGCCAGGAGACGCAGGGCCCGGCACGGTCTACCCTGCTCGGACCCCCGCCCTCCTGTGGTTCCGAGCCTCTCCCCGTGGGCTGTGACTGCAGCTTCCCTGCGGTCCCTCCTGTGCCTCCAGTCCCCACGCTCCATTTCGGGGGCCTTGCCCTCTGACTGTTGCTGGGACTGTCAGTCCTAGAGCTGGCCCCGGGATGAAGCAGGGCCTGTTTCTGGAAACCACCGTTCGCAGCACCCAGGCAAACAAGACAGGAAGGAACAGTTCTGGGCCCTCCCTGGAGCCCATGTAGCCACACGGAGGGGAGTGCCACAGCCCCAGACGCCAACAGCTCCGCGGGGTGTGGGCTCAGAGCGCCAGGCTCCCCTGGGTCCTTCACCACGGCCTGCCGACGCGTGCCCTCGGATTTGCTGCTGACGGAGACCTGTCCACGGGACAGGTGGACCTAGGCCCCTTGGTGTCTCGAGGACGTCACTGGACAGTTTGAGCGGTAAAGACTCCGCCTGCAGTGCGGGAGGCCTGGGTTCAATCCCTGGGTTGGGAAGATCCCCTGGAGATGGGAAAGGCTACCCACTCCAGTGTTCCTGCCTGGAGAATCCCACAGTCCACGGGGCCGCAAAGAGTCGGACACGACAGCGTGGCTCTCTCACTCATGCTTCAGAACCACTTACCACCTGTCACCAACACGCTCTACCTTCTACCCGCCCTGGTCTTGCTCTTGCCTTCTCCGTGTTTCTGTCAGCAAGTGTGTCACAGCCGGCTCTCCGGACGTCAGGACAGGTGTGCCCCTGGCCCCCGGCCCCTGGCGGTGCTGGGGTGCTCCGTGGGGCTGAGGGACGGCCCCCTGAGCCTTTCACCCCAGGGGTGCGCCCAGCGGGGAAGGTCGCACAGGGCTGACGCAGGCCCAGCTGCAGAGGATCGCGAGGGAACTGCCGCCCTGAGAAGCCCACTCTCCACGCTCTCTCAAGCCACTGGGCTGCCTTTGGGGGACACACGGGAGGAGGGAACGATGCTGGGACCACGGTGGACGCGTCCTGCGGGGGATGGGCACCCCGGCGGGCGGACGGTACTCTCGGGGGGCTGCCCCAAGACCACCAGGTCAAAGACAGGATGGGACTTAGGCCCAGCCTGCTGGGCCTGGGGGACAGAGGCGCTGCCTCTGGGCACAGGCGTGGGGCTGCAGGAGGAGGCGGACGGGCCCTGCATTCAACCCCGTCCGCGGGGCCGGTCCAGCCGTCGGCCACCCCAGTGCCCACACAGCCCCGCCTCGTCTGGGCCAGGAGGCTGGGGGGAGGTCCACGGGCACAGCGGACCCGGGGCCAAGCCAGGGAGCCTAGGACGCTGAGGGCCGAGGGGGCAGCGTGTGAGGACAGACAGCCACACGCATACACGCACACACCTCACCGATGACACAGACACGCATACACCTCTGATGACACACACAGACACACATGCACACACCTCACTGATAACACAGACACACATGCACACACCTCTGATCACATGCACACACCTCACTGATAACAGACACATACGCACACATACACCTCACTGATTACAGAGACACACATGCACACACCTCACTGATTACACAGACACACACGCACACAGCCCACCTCTCTCACATACACACACACGCATGCACACAGCCTCTCACACACACAACCCACCTCTCACACACACACATGCACACTTCTCTGACACACACACACGCTTGTACACAGCCCACCTGTCACATATACACACACGTGCGTGCATGCACCAGCCCAACTCTCTCACACAGACACACATATGCACATACCTCACTTCTCACACACATATGCATGCACACACCTCGCTTCTCTCTCAGATACACACATGCAGACACACACACACAGAGCTCACTTTTGACACACACAGACACACCTCACTTCTCACACACACACACACACACACACCTCATTTCTGACACATACAGACATGCATGTACACACACATTTCACTTCTGACACACAGACATGCACGTAATGCACACACCTCACTTCTGACACACACAGGCACATATGCACACACACACCTCACTCCTGACACACAGACACACACATACACACACACCTCACTTCTAACACACAAAGACACACACACACAGCTCACCTCTTTCTCACACACACACACACATACACACACGCACGCACCTCACTTCTCTCTGACACAGACACATATGCACTCACACAGCCCACTTCTCTCTTATACAAACACACACATGCATGCACACAGCCCACCTCTCTCACAC